TCTAAAAAAAAAAAAAAATCATGATTAAAACAAGTATTGATGTGATACCCAGTACTTCCTGTGAGGTATTGCCAAACTAGTGTACCACATATCAGGAAATACCTGGAACAGATGAACATGTTCCCAGGAATACAGTCAATAAAATCCAGACTATGGGAGATGTTATAGATCAAATGATCATATTTCTTAAAATATTTAAAAAATAAATTTGGGCGCCTGGGCGGCTGAGTTGGTTAAGCATCCGACTTTGGCTCAGGTCATGATGTCACAGTTCATGAGTTCAAGCCCTGCATCAGGCTCTGTGCTGACAGCTTGGAGCCTGGAGCCTGCTTGAGATTCTGTGTCTGTCTCTCTGTCTGTCTGTCTGTCTCTCTCTCTCTCTCTCCCCCTTCCTCTCTCCCTGTTCCCCCCCTCCCTGTCTCAAAAATAAACAAACATTAAAAAAGTTAAAAAATAAAAGTAAATTTGGGAGGTAGTAGCAGGGGGAGTGGGAAACCTGTAGATTAAAAGATTTAAGAGACAAGTTGGATCCTGACTTTTAAAAAAACTAAAATTTTTTTATGACTTGAATTTGAACACTGGTTATTTGTTGATATTAAAGACACTGCTGTTAATTTGGGAGAGTAGTATTGGTATTGAGGTTATTTTTTAAAACTCGGGGGCACCTTAGTGGCTTTGTTGGTTGAGTGTCTGACTCTTTGATTTTGGCTCAGGTCATGATCTCATGGTTCAACAGATCAAGCCCTGCACTGAGAGTGGATCCTGCTTAAATCCTCCCTCCTCATTGCCCTCCCCTCCCTGCTTGTGTACACGCTCTCTCAAAAAACTTTTTTTTTTTTGTTCCATTTTATTTGAGAGAGAGTGTGCATGCATGAGCGGGAGAGAGGCAGAGGGAGGAAGAATCTTAAGCAGGCTTCTGGCAGAGCAATCCAGGCATCACCCCCCCCAAAAAAACTTTTTTAAGAGTTGCATAGTGACACTAGGGGGTCCTGGCGGGCTCAGTTGGAAGAGTATGCGACTCTTGATCTTGGGATCGTGAGTTCGAGCCCCATGCTGGGTGTAGAGATGACTTGAATAAACTTTAAAAAAAAGGGTTATGTAATGAAATATTTATACTAGTAATATAAATGGTATACTAAATATAAATAGAATAAATATAGAATGCTGTATACTGAGTTTGCTTAAAATAATCTGAGGGTAGGAGTCAGTAGTTTAGGGGATGACTGAAATAATAGTGGCCATGTGATGATTGCTGTAGCTGGTGATGAATACATGGAGGCTTGTTATATTATTTTCTCAGCTTTTGTGGATGTTTGATATTTTTCATAATAAGATTTATTTAAGGGTGATACTGAAAGACTTGACTGTAGACAAATTTAATACAAATTGTATCAAAACATGTTAACCAGAAAAAGGCTCAGGAGCAGACTGAGGAAAATATTTGTAGTAAGTAATGCAGAAGAAACATTGATATTTTTTCTTATATTATCAGCAAAAATATCCTCAAAGTACCACTAGATAAGTATCTCAATACATGACAGGAAGTGTTTCACTTTTTGTTCCCAAAAAGTACAGATTAAAATAATGAGAAGAGAAAGGAGGGAGAGGGAGGGAGAAATACTAATATCCAATGTTGGTGCAAGATGATAAAATTAGTTCTGATGAAGTGCTAGAGTCAGTACAGATACAGCCCTTTTTGTTAACAACCTGGAAATATATCTGGGATCCACAAACGTGCTCATCTCCTTTCACCTAGGAATTCCCAACATGTACAAAATTGAGTATGTGTAAATTTCCTCATCACAGGAAATAGGACACTACTGGCAAGTCTATCAGTAGGAAAACTTTAAAAAATGGGTGTGTCAGTGGATTTGTTCAGTAGGATGTTATGTGGCTGTTAAAAATTATGGTTATGAAACTCACATAGCTACATAGAAAAATGCTTCTAGTGCAGTGTTAACTGCAGTTACAGTGGCCACTGTTGATGGAGTACCTACTGGGTGTCAGCCAAAAGCTGGCTCTCTTCCCTAAAACTTTCCTCTCCATACCTCTACAACAGGTGTGGGATGCCTGGCTGGTTCAGTCAGTAAAACGTGAGACTCTTGATCTCAGGGTCATGAGTTTGAGGCCCATATTGAGCATGGAGGCTTTTTTATTTTTTAATTAAAAAAAAAAAAAAGTTACCAGCAGATGAGCATATGTGGAAAACAAGTGTCAGGTTATATTGCTTTTTGGGCTAGAAAGTAGACAAGTAGAATTTGAACATATCCTGTTCTGTCTCCAAAGCTATTGTGCCAGAAGGAGGTATACATAATACATACAAAACTTAAAAAAAAAAAAGAGGTGTTAGAGGCACGTGGAAAATGGCAAGAAGAGGGGTGCCTAGCTGGCTCAGTCAGTGGGGCGTGTGACTCTTGATCCTGGAGTCGTGGGTTCGAGCCCCATATTGGGTGTGGAGCCTATTTTAAAAAATAAATAAAATAATTTTTCTTAGTAGCAAGAATAAAATACCCCGAAACAGTAATAGTTATGGGTTAAGATGATAGAATTCGAAGTGTTTTGATCTTTCTATTTTTCCAAACTTACTGTAGCTACTTTTATACTTAAAAAGAAAATATAGAGTACCGGAACCTTTAGAACAACAGAGCTTAAATTCCATGACCTTCTAGAAGCATGAACTATTTTATTGGTATTGAGAGGTAGTTAGTACTGTAGTACCTCAGTAGAGAGGTGATGTGTTGTGGAAGTGTACCTGCTCACCAGCTGAAGTTTTATTCTTGCCCATCTTATCCCTTCAGTTTAAAACGACTTGCTGAGGGGTGCCTGGTTGGCTCAGTTGGTTAAGCGTCCGATTTCAGCTAGGTTGTGATGTCATAGTCGTGGGTTTGATCTCCACGTCGGGCTCTGTGCTGACAGCTCAGAGCCTGGAGCCTGCTTCAGATTCTGGGTCTCCATCTCTGCCCCTCCCCTGCTCATGCTCTGTCTCTCTGTCTCAAACATTTAAAAAAAATTTTTTTTTAACTAAAAAATATTGAAACAACAGTAATTTAAAAAGCTTTTTTAATTTTTTAAAATGTTTATTTTTGAGAGAATGAGAGTGCACACAAGCGGGGGAGGGGCAGAGAGACAGGGGAACAGAGGACCCCAAGTGGGCTCCGTGCTGACAGCAGAGAGCACCATGTAGGGCTCAAACTTGTGAACCTCGAGATCATGACCTGAAGTCAGACGCTAAACCAACTGAGCCCCTGGGTGCCCCCCCAAAATTGTGTACAAAGACGTGGATGCAAAAAAAGGAAAATCGGTCTCAAATCCTATCAACCTAAGGAGCAACTCTTTAATAAATTGTTAAAATTATTTCCAGAAGTATTTTTGTATTTTCACCCAGAGCAGATGAGTATCTCTGATTCACTGCATTGTTGTCTGTTCTGATATTAGCAGAAATACTTCAACATAACTGTACCTTAATTACTAAGGGAAGCATGTTGAACGTAGAGCTTGAAAAAAAAGGGGCAGCATTCAGACCTTTCTGTTGCCTAAAGCATCATGTAAATTTGTTTTGGGGATGAATATAGAAACTTAGACTATGTCCTTTAGCATCAATGAGTAAAATCCATTTTAAAAGTGTCTTGTCAGGGGCACCTGGGTGGCTTAGTCGGTTAAGCATCTGACCTTAACTCAGGTCACAATTTCACAGTTCATGGATTCGAGTCCCCTGTCGGGCTCTGTGCTGATAGCTCACATCCTGGAACCCGCTTTGGATTCTGTGTCTCCCTCTCTCTCTGTCCCTCTCCTGCTCACGCTCTGTCTCTCAAAAATAAACGTTAAAAAAAATTTTTTTTTAATTAAAAATAAATAAATAAAAGTGTCTTGTGCCTTGGCAACAGAGAGAAGTAGACTAGGTCCACAGTCACCACTACTTACAGGCTTGGATCAGACTGAGAAAGGCTTGAGTCCCACTTTGCCATTGTCTCATATTTGGAGGTTAACAGACATTTTCAAAGGGCACATTACAAACATGCAAATAGGGTCTTCTAGGTGGCTCAGTCGGTTAAGATCTAACTGTCGATTTCGGCTCAGGTCATGAGCTCATGGTTGTGGGGCTGAGCCCTGTGTCAGGCTCTTGTGTTGAGTGTGGAGGCTGTTTAACATTCTCTCCCCACCCCCCTTAAAAAAAAATCCCAATAAAACACATGATTCTTGATTGGGTCCTAGTTCAATAAAAGAGATGTAATACTTTATCCAAGTCTTGGAACAATTGGAAGGATTGAGTATGGACTGAATATTAGATGTTACGGGATTATTGTTCATTTGCTTAGAGGTGATAATACTTTTGTGGATTTATAGGAGACTTTCCTTACTCGTGCTGAAATGTTTAAAGGTGAAGAATCACAGCATTTGCAGCTTACCTTCAGATGGTTCAGCAAACAAACAGATAAAGTAAAAATGTTATTGTCAAATAGAGGTGGAGGATGTACAGGTGTTTATTGTACTGTGGCTTTTCTGTATATTTGAAACTGTCTTAAAAAGTTTGAGGCGGGGCGCCAGGGTGGCTCAGTCGGTTAAGTGTCCCACTTTGGCGCATGGTTCTTGAGTTCAAGCCCCGTGTCAGGCTCTGTGCTGTCAGCTCAGGGACTGGAGCCTGCTTTGGATTCTGTGTCTCCCTCTCTCTCTGCCCCTCCCCTGTTCATGCTGTATCTGTCTGTCATCTCTCTTTAAATATTTTTTTTTTTTAATTTTAAGTTTGAGGAAAAGATAAACTTATAAACAACATGTTAAATGTATTTTTTTTAGTCTGGCTTGAGTAGAATTGCAGTTTTCTTGAGCATATTAGAATAATCAGTGTGGTAAGGGTGGGAAGAAAGTTCCAGTAGTTAGTTAATCACAGACAGGCTAAATAGAATGTTTAACAACACAGTAACTTGATGGACAACTGTTTTGTCTAGGCAAAGACATCTCACAGAGAAGATGCCAGTTTCTAATTTCTCTCTTTGTTGAACCAGCACAACAGATTTGTCCTGGACTGTAAAGACAAGGAACCTGATGTGCTGTTTGTGGGGGACTCCATGGTGCAGTTAATGCAGCAGTACGAGGTAAGGCCGACGTGGCAAGGGTGCATCTTGGCTACGAAGGTAAATCTGTTCATTGCTAGCAAACTTTCATTCTGAGCCGAACCTGAAAGGCTTCTTCGTGACAGTTTAGAAAAGCTCCAATTCGGAGTATGAGGGAGGTCAGTCCTACATAATGGGATTCTTTGTGCCACCAAGCGTGAGGAGACAAAATTTAGCATTGTTTGTAACTCCGCTCTCGTTTTTGCCTTGGCTTCCGAGAACCTTCTCTATTTTATTTTATTTTATTTTATTTTATTTTATTTTATTTTATTTTATTTT